ATACAGCTCTCAACTTCCATGTGCATGTCTGTGTGGGAAGTGTAGAAAGTTTTCTTTGTGTCCTTATGTGAGGACTCAGGATCCTCTTCAGACGATGTAAGTAGCTGCAGAGGAGGGTCTGTTCTGGAAGCCGGTTCCCTGCATGCATGGATCTGCTCCCATTGTGCCGTAAAGCCGTTGACAGGCAGCAGTAGTTTTACATGTTGAAAACACTTGAAAGGAATATTTTAGTGAAGCTTTTTATAGACCTAGACCGAGTGTTTTCCCTCAGCTTTGCACAGAAACAGTCATCGGAGTTAGAGCACTGCTTTGCTAGTCATTTTTCTTACAGAGGTTTTTTTTTTTTTTCCTGTGCATTTGTTTCTGTTGGTTACCTGTGTTGACACAGAGACTTTAGGAGCATAATGGATAGGTCAAAAACAGGATGTGTTAGCAACACAAGAGTCTTACACTGCCATCACTGAAAAAAAATCTTGAAAAAAAAATTAAAACTACACTTGCCCCTGCTTTTTCTTGTTACTCTATTTATTATTATTTTGTACACGTGGTATTTGTACATGTGTGGCATATGAGCATATGTGTGTGAGTGGGTGGGGTGTGTGCCTGTGTGGAGGAGGTCTGTGGAAACCTGTGCTTAGCATGCTTGTCCCTCTTTGCCTTATGCCCTTGAGACGGGGTGTCCCATTGAGCCTGGAGCTAATCTTTTGACCTAAACTTGCTGGCAAGTTAGCCTGTCTCCACCATCTATATTGTTACCATTTTGGATACTCATGGCCCTGCTGGTCTTTCTGTGTGGGTGCTGTGCTGGGGGGTAGGGGTCTGAACTCACCTTTCTATGCTTGTGAAACAAGTGCTCTCAACCACTGAACCATCTCCCCAGCTCATTGTCTTCTTTTACCTTTCCTTCCTTTTTCTTCACCGTTTGTTTCTTCTCTGATATCCATCAGCACATTCCACACTGGAACTTGCAGCGAACAGTTGAATGTGGCCTTGCTGTTGATGGCCACAGACTGTCCCCCGAGCTCCTAACTCCATGTTCTACCTTGTGCTTGTGTTTTGCTCATCAGTTAATGTCACCAGACTACAATCCACTGCATAAACCCCGAATAAACACATTTACTCTGAGGCTCTATTCCTGGATGAGAACCTTTGGAGATTCTGAAGTGAATCTTGGCACCTCCTTGAAGTGAGCAGAAGCTCCCTAGCTTACAGACTCCTTTTCTTCCCACTGAGCTATGAGTGTGAGGTTATCATGACTTAAGAAAGTAAAGAAATCTTTGGAGGGTTGCTCCATTTGCATGAAAATCAGCATGCTTAATGAGCTGAGTGTCACACCTTGTTTTTGTATTTCTATTAATAATTGATGTATGCACTTTCAATGGACATCATTTTTCTAAGAAGAATGAATGTGGATCCTATGGAGTGGGGGCCCAGACACAGAGAGATGAATGGATCACAGAGAAATACTAAAAGGTTCTGATCCTTGGGGAGGAAGGAGGAAAATAGCACAACCCTGATGCACTATATTTTATCCCTCCTGTCTGTGGGGGAATTAGGGTCAGGACCCAGAAACTTTGCTCTATCAGCTGGTGTTAGTTTCACCTCAGGTGGGGTGGGCTTCCTCTTTGATGGGTCATTTCCTCCTTTCCTATCGTATTCCAGACTGCATTAAGATGACAAATTCCCCTTATAGGCAGGGACAGAAATGTGAAAACCTGAGCTATACAGCTAACTGAGTGAGTGCAGATGAGCCGATTTATTGTGGGGAGAAAGGGAATGTTTGAAGAACAAAATAGATTTTGCTAACCTTGCTGTGCTGTTGGGCACACACAGAATGCCTGGTTCTGTCCTGCCCTGCCTCTTCATTTTGGAAAGGAATGCTGAAGGAGGTATGAAGAATGTCTTTAGATCACGCACAAGTACACAGAGTGTGGAGTTTGCAAGGGAACATTTTTTTTAAGGTCAAATAAGTAAAATAAAAGTCTTACTTTCTTTCCTATCTGTGAACTCTGCAATAAATAACTCTCTTCTCCCACCCTGCCTTTAGGATTGAGGGGTAAAATAAAAAAGAAAGAAAAGAAAACTTGGCCAGTGAACGAGCAAGTCTATCAGATCAAACATGACTGTGTTAAATACTAAAATGTTCAAAGTCCGACTGAGATAGATAAAGGCTTTGATGGAAAGAGGATATTTCCCAGGGACATTACAAGCCATAATCCAGATGTTATGGTGTAATGCAACGAGTGTCCATGGATAGATCAGGAGCTTCAGCCAAGCCGCGCCTGGTGCAGGCCTCAGCCTTGCCCTCCCATGCTGTTCTGCCATATGGAACCCATCTCCAGCCCCCTTAATAACCAGCTTTGGATTGCATTTTCACAGAGCTCATACAGCTAAGTGGGGCTGCTTTATGGACAAGTTAGATAGAGGCCTTTCCAAGATAAACATCCAATTTGAAATTAGGACATTCTGCACTGCAAAATTATTTTAGGGCATATTTCATGGACATGCTGCCATTTTTCTTAGGCAATTGCCAGACTGTAGGATGCCCTTTGATCCTCTGTGGACATTACTCCCTGTTTTATAAAAGGGATGCTGAAATAGTTGCAGTGTTGAGGGAGGAATATATCTGTCGGAACTTTGAAGCATGGCCATGGGACAGGTCATGCTTTAGCTTGTTGGTTAGAAGTCAAACTTTTAAGAAGGAAAAGACAGCAAAAGAGGGAATTACAGCAGGACTTATGAATCAAAATCTCATCTTTCCTTTAAAGGCAGACATGTCAGCCTGTGCACTCAATAAGCTATAAAATGTGTAAGAGTATATTCTGTGTTTGTATGCACATCTGTAGATGTGGACACACACGGATGCATGTCTGTGCTATGTGCTGCTTTTGTGATGTGATTTTAACAAAGTCACTTAATTTAAACTGTTTTGTATCTCTTATAGTTGAATACATTGTATAGAAGACCAAGTGACAATTGGTGGTTAAGAAATAATCCTTGTGTGCTGGGAGAATCATTTCTCTCCTATTCAATTGTTTTCCCATTTGCATGTTCTAATTTGCAATAGTATTTCTAAATCAGTGCCCCCCCCTCTCGTGCGTGCATGCGTGCATGCGTGCGTGCGTGCGAAGAAAATCTTTATGATCATCCTGGATAAAAGTTGGAAGTACATCTTTCCTTAAAGTAATTTTGTTTACTGTTATCATACATCAGCAAAATACTCAGAGTGGCATGAATACATTTCTTGAGAATGGTGCAGTGACGTAGTTGAAGTAAGTAAGCTGATATATTATTAATATGGACCTAACTTACTACTTGTTAGGGTAAATTGTGACTGCCTGGTGTGGTTGAACAGACTGGTGTCTCAATGACCACAAAGACAGAGTAAGCAGATGATGTCAATGCCTACACAGAGTTAGGAGTGCATTGATTAGTTCTGATGCTCAGCTCCATGGGCATTCTTCAGTCTAGTGGTTCTTCCTCTAAAGAAAAAGTGTATACTTGTTTCACTTCAGTTATCAAGCACAATTTGGGAATGAACTCTGTCATCTAAACTCAGCCTGTGGATCAGGTGGGAATCCCAACTCAAGCAACTCAGTAGGGAGCGACTGTTGAGAGGTCAGGGCTGAACACAGAGTGCTGAACCACGCCAAAGGGCTGATGGGTCATTTTGTTGTACAGCGTAATTGTGGCATTTTGACTTCATAAAAACAAATGTGGATTTTTTTCCTAAAATGTTTCAAGAGACAAACTGATGCAGAGAGAGATGAAATTAGATGGGTGGGATGCTGAATGTGGTGAATAAGTACATGAAGATTAGTTCTACCACTGATTCTGTTTTCTTTGGGGGGAGCTTAAAAATTATATAATGAGAATTATAAAAACTATAGCCACCATCTTTACCATTTAAGAATAGATACTTGTCTTCTTTGTATATTGTGTTTGAGGTATACATAAATAGAATCATTTAGAAAAAGAAAAACAGTAAGTTAGGAGTTACTTAGCCCATCTGGGGCTTCAGGGACTCTGAGATGACTTCACACCCTTCCCATTCCCCCTTGTCACATCTCATCCTCTGGACCCACACTGCTTATTTGGCCAGTTAGGTCTTTGCAAGCTACACTTGGAGTTGTGGTTCTCCTCACAGTGGCATGGAGTTTTTTAAATACTAGCCTGCGGGAGAGAACAGATAAATGTGAATGTGATGAATAAATCCGCAATCATTATTGCTATAGATCCAGAAGTGTTTTGTCCCTTAGAGCTCTCTTTCCAAGCATGCCTTTTTCCCCTCCCAATGAGTCAAACAGCCAAAGCCAAGTTCCAGGATCTCTATGAAAGAGCTCATCTGAGCAGGAGTGAAGAGCAGAGCCAAATCCACATGCTGTTTGCACCTATCTCTTGCAAGATTGGAAGCAAGTCACAGAACTGGGAGCATGGATTTGCAAAACCAGGGAATGTTAAGAGGTTCCTCCAAGTTGGGAGCAACTTCAGGCTGAAACAGGGAGGGCTGGAATGCCTATGACAGCCAGATTCACTTTCAAGAGCAATCAATCTGTTTACACGCTGTTTTATTTATTTATTTATTTATTTATTTATTTATTTATTTATTTATTTATTTATTTATTTATTTATTTTTAGTCTTCTTTGATCCGCAACCTACGGCTCTCAGAGTCCCTGAGAAAGAATCAACTCTGGAATGGGATTATAAGTATAACTCTGTTGGAAGGGAAGAATGTCTCAGGAGGGAACATGACAGAGATGTTTGTCCAGTTGAAACTGGGAGATCAGAGATACAAAAGCAAGGTAAGCTATGTTAATGGTACAAGGAGGACATTATCTTTCCAAACGATAAAAAGGAAAAATGTTCCTGCTTTATGTTTCTCAAGAGTGGAGCCAACTTACTTTTAGCATCTCCCCAGTCATGTTAAGTAGCATCCCACAAAACAAAACAGTTGTATAGATTAATTAAACGAATTCAGGTTTTGCTTGGTGTCATTTATTTTCAGAGGTAAAGAATTTATTTTCATGTATTTCAGAAGTAAAGAAAGCTTCTTAAATCGTAGTTCTGGATGCATGATCTGTCTTAAGTTTGAGAATAAGTAATGTGGGCTCTGTAGGAAAAGAGTAGATGAGTGTTCTTCATTACTCTAAAATAAAGCTACAGACTACTTGAGAACATTAAAATGTTGGAGATAAGTAAAAATGTTTTCAAAATTGTATGTGTGTTTCCTTGTTAGTTTTAGCACCAAAAAAAAAAAAGGTATCTGATGTTTCTGGGTTTTGCTATTTTTATTTTTTGTTATTATTTTTCCTTCCCCAAATAAACTACATAAAGTACTAAAAAATAACAGTGCTTTTAACTGTTTTTTAAAGAATAAATTGTTTGGTCCTACTAATCCAAATTCCATATAGTTCTTAATTTTAGAAATTTGATGTGGATTGAATTAAAAAATATCATTTTTAACCATGGAAATTAATTTGTTTTCATCTTGATATAACTGTTTTATGACTAACAGATAGGAATATTTTGCATGTTTTATGAAATTAAAGGGGCTAGCGTAGTTGAAAGTTATGCCACTTGCCAAAGACCATATTAAAAGACAAAACAATCCTAGAAGGTCTTGAAAGAGGACCCAAGGATATTTGCACTTGGATTCCTGGCATCCAGGAAGCAGCCAAGCAGATAGAGACAGCTTGGAAAAGGAGACAGGAAGGCAAGAGGCTGTATTCTGCCTAAATTTCAGTTCAACAACCCAATATTAGACATGCTTAACTCCAGCACAAAGGAGCAGAGAGACAAGGCACACAGCAAACAGGAGTGTGCAAAGAGTGGAAAAGTGAGTGTGAGTGAAATCTGAAATACACAGATAATCATTTCAGGCAGAGCCTGGCACTGAGTGACCTAGAATGATTACTTCCCTCTACTGGGGAAGCCTTTAGCCACTCATGGTCAGGCTAAGGATTTCTGGAAAGCTAATTCATCTCTGTGACAATTAGCTACACAGTATGAGGTGGAGTACAGAGTTAAACCAATGTCTAGCTCATTCATTCCCTGCGAGAAATACTGCAGTGAGTTTCTATTTCTAAGACATCTTTTTCTTCTTGGAATCTAAATTCTGTGATGTGATATGATAAAAAAAAATGGTATGAAACCCAGCTCAAATGTGTTTATATGACATGGCAGCAGCTGAGGTGTGAGCAGCCCATGCTTTACCTTGCTTGAGAGTAGTTGGTGCTGATTTAAGAGTTGATCTGTGGGTTTAGAGCCCAGACTCAGTCGCCAGTGCTTGAAATATTTATTCACAAATTAAATCTCTATGAAAGAAAGGAAAATGAAGATCCTGTCAGAAAAGCTACCCCATAGGCAATTTGTTCACACTTAGAGAACACAGGAACATGTGTGTGTGTGATTTTTCTATAACCATTTAATTTCCCAGTATGGTAAAGTGGAATTGTCTTGTTTTCTCTTTGACAAAGCATTGTGATTCATTATCTTTGGACTCAAAATTAGACGCTCCGTGCTATCATATATTATAGATTTCTCATTTAATGTGTCCAAAAGATGTTAATTAAGCCCACAAAGTGTTAGTTTATCTGATGCTTAAGCCAGCTCTGGTATATGCACCATCACAAACATTGCTTATATTTGACTAAACAGTTAATGCTGTCTTCAGTAGGAATGAGCAGGCTCTTTGTATATATGCACTGCATGTTTGTGTGGTTCTTACAGTTTCTTATGGTAGTCTTTTTAACTTGATGGAGCAATTGCTGCATTTGGGAGTCAGTTAAAAGCGTAGTCATATTTTGCTAAATCCTGAGTCCACGAGGGTCCCTTTTATTCCAGAAGTTTAAGTGTATCTTGCTAAGAGCCCCACCCCATCATGGTGACTTCCTGCCCTGTAGACATGACATAAATGTGTAGCTGCTGTGGCCATGACCGACCTTCTGAGAAAGTAAACTCTGTAACTGCATGTTTTCTAGACACTGTGTAAGAGTGCAAACCCGCAGTGGCAGGAACAGTTTGACTTTCACTACTTCTCTGACAGGATGGGCATTTTGGACATTGAAGTGTGGGGAAAGGACAGCAAAAAGCATGAGGAGCGACTGGGCACGTGAGTCACTCTGCTACTCCTGGGGGGGGAGTTCCTAACTGGACAGTGCTAGCTCTGAAAGAATGTCTCATGTGTTTGGCTTGGGGGTGGACACCCATCTCCTACCTCAAGGGAGCAGGTAGTACACTGGACAGCCACTTAATGTGGAAGGGGTATTAGTTGATTTTCTAGTTGGTAGATGTAACTCAGTATTCAAATCAGGCTTGCAAAAGAAGAAAACAGTTATCCCTCCTCGTCTATAGGGAGCTCATTCCAGGAACTCATAATGATAATAATATACTCAAAGGTCAGAGTGCATGGGGGGTGTGACATATTTGCATTCAGACACCACAGGTACTTGGTTATCTTACATGCTTTGTGTATGGATTACAAATGATACCTAACATAATGTGAAACCTATGTAAGTCCTTGATAGATCCCCAGATGACTTCATGTGATTACTATGGGTATAATCTTTAAGCAAACATTGTATCTAAGGTTGGTTGAATCCATACATTCAAAGGTCCCACTGCAGTCTGTGAGTCAGGAAGACTCCAGAGGAAATTATGTGCTATCTCAGACCATTGGGATACATCTGTAAACATTTGCAGGATTTCATTTTGGTTTTACAATGTATCATGTGATACATTTAGGAAGAGAAGAAGGTGAGTTGTTCCCCGTGATAGAAAAGTTTCAATGTCCTTGATTCAATGTCTATAGAATCTGAAGCAGCCAAAACCATTCTGTGGTTTGTTTACTTTGGAGGTGGTCTAAAGTAAACAGCTCAATTGAGGTGGTCACCGATGGGTAACAAATAATAACGTGAGAATTATAGTTTCTTCATAGGACTGTATTGAGGAATACCATAAAATCGCAAGCACCGTGCCTGGCCTGTAGTGGACACAAAGGAAACCCTTCCCTCTGATCTAGGGCCGCGGAGCTCTGCAAACTAGGGAGAGGAAGTCGTCCTGTGATGTGGCCTTGGGCTTGAGGACAATAAATCCCAGAGCCAGGATTTGGGGTTTTAAAGATCCCATTCTTTCTAGCAAATCGTTCCCTTTAGTACCCCCCCCCCAGATGCATCATTTGTATACAAATCTTAAACGATGAACACAAATGTGTAAAGAATTGCCAGCGGTTGTCTGCGGCTGGCTTCCAGTCTGGAGCCTCGGCTCAAGGCTCTGTGGTGAGCCACTGCGGAGGGACGCGAGGGACCACTTCACCTCTCCTGTGTAGCCAGTACACCTTGATATTCAGGATTCCAGCCAAGGACGAGGGTTTATTACTCAAAAATAAAGATTAAAAGAACTTATCTGCTATGTAGAACCCATTCGTTTTACAGCGAGGGAGTGCAGAGAACAGTCAGACGCTCCGAGGGAGACTTGGCACGAGGCCAGCTGAGCACTCCTTCACAGAGTCGTCTTTCTCTGTGCAGCTCTCCTCAGTGCAGGGTGTGTGGGACCCTGCCGTGCATGCAGCGTTGGTCCTTCTTGCTGTCTGTATCTCATCCTTCCCTCCAGAGGCAGCTGCAGGAGCAACTTAGCACCCATAGAATCCCCCCCTTCTGTCTCCACACAGCTGTCCTGTTACATGGTGTTCCCTGACATGTAACAAGACACTTGTAGCAGACTGGCGGGCTGTCATCCACCTGACACCAATTACTTCCCACAATTACACAGAAACAGACATGTGCCTCTGCACACGATGTCTGCATTCCATTATGCGTGGCCAGGTACCTACTAAGGGAACCACCGGCCAGAAGCTATGGCACTTTCATCTCTGCTTTTCACCCCGGACCTGCCCAGCACAGTTGGCTTTGCCTTGCATGTCTTCTCATGCATACTCTCTGCTGCCTGTCTGCTAGGCAGCACTCACGGCTTTCTGGGCCAACCGGGCACATAGCATAGATAGTGAGCTGGATCATGCCACATACCCCAGATCCAGCAGGTGTGGGCTGGTGCTTGATGGCCACTTCATGTCCAGTTACTGGTCTGGTCTTGCTTCTTTCTCCCATGCCCACATACGGAGACTGAAATGCCTCAGACATTTCCCAGTACCTCCAACATCCTCAGCTCTCTGACATGTCAGAGCCCTGCCTGTATCAAGGACAGTAGGATCGGAAAGTTAGGACTAAGGCTAAATCAGGAAACTCTGAGAACTCTATGTCCCAAAGTGTTATCTGCACAGTGGGTATTTGGGTCTTCTGTGATGAATGGCCCAGAGTTATTTTAGTAGGTGCAAATAATAATGCCTTGCATGTCTCATATCACTGCATTGCCGTGCTTCCGTCACATAATAGGAAATGCTTTTCCAAATGAGTGTTATGTGGCTTCAGAGAGACAAAAAATAGCTGAAGACGTCCTGTATGGCCTGTGTTTTGTCATTTGAGTATTCACTTATTATTTTAGCCATTTCCCGTTGGTAACTGAGATGTCTACCTGTCTTCTCATCATTCTGTCCTTCCTCTCTATGGGTTGGAAAGGATTTTTGTTGCTTTTTTGGGCATCCTTTTCCTTTTTCCCCCTCTTGCAATTCAAAAGATAACAACAGTGTCTCCTGGGAGCCCTGGCTCTGTGCAGCCTTGCATTGCACAGAATATAAGCAGACACAAGTCTTTACTCACACAGAATACTCCTTCTCAGGTTTAATGGAGACATGATGGCAGGACAAAGTGTCTTGGATTTTGTAATCCTAATACTCAGAAGGCTAAGCAGGGAGAATCATGAGTTTGAGGCCAGGCTGGGCTGCACAGCAAAACCCTGTCTCATAAACAAACAGAACCGCAAACCATTGTACTAGCATGCCGTTATTTCTGGCAAGTTACTTGTAGATTATTCTTATGAGTTTCTTTCCTTTTTTTTTAATTTCAACTTTAAAAAAAATTACTTAATAGTGTCTGTGTGTGCAGGTTGGCATAAGCCAAGATGTTCATATGGAGATCAGAGGATGACTTCCAGGAGTAGAATCTCTCCTTCTACCGTGGGGTCACAGGTTCAAACTCAGGTCATAAGGCTTGTACAACAAGCAACTTTAAGATACCATCCTACCAGCCCACATTTCCCCATTTTTGCCCCCTATAGCTTATTTTCCTTCGTATCGGTCACTCCAAGACTTAGCTATTCTTGCTTCAACTACTCAAAACTAGAGGACTCTCTAGTGGTGCAAGCAGATGCTCACTGTTTCCTGAGACCCATCTTCCATTTTATTTGGAGAATACAGACATATTAATATTCTCATACCCCTCTAAGGAAATTCTCCTTGGTGAAGATTCCCATTGTGGATAGTTTGATACAGGAAGGAAACATAACATTTTAGGGGTTACTGTGTGATTTTGGTAATGAACCTACTGTATGTCTATTTTGCTGGAGTCCATGGCTAACATTCAGGTCAGAAACAGTAGCAATATCCATTGACATTATCTGCAGTGAGCATTACATTTCTGTTAATAATTTTGAAATTTTTCTCTATGGCAACTATAGATCTCTATAAAATATAAAACTAAAATTATTTAATTCAAATAAATTAAATGTAATCATATATATATACATATATAGATATATATGTAACCAGTTATATATATAATATATAATAATAATATAATATATAATAATATAATAACATATATAATATATAAGTTTTATTATATATATAATGTAACCATATATATATATATGAACAGTGGGCATGTTCAAAGATATTTGCATATTTACTGACTGGGGGATGAATAGCACCATTCGAGATTCATGGGTGGTGTAGCCTTTGCTTATAGGAGCTGGGCTCACATACACAACAGTGGTCTCGAGATTGCCTCTTCCCTACATCTATGTTCTGAAGCTTTCTTGAGTGTGACTGCCCCTCTGCCATAGCATATCCACCCACAGGTTCTATCTGACCTTCAGTAACTGAAGATAGGGTGGATAGAGTCCCAAAGATGAACATGCTTTCACAAGAGCCAACCTCCCTTGAGAACATGCTGCCTAATCCACCTTTCGTTGTTGTTGTTGTTTGTTTGGTTTTGTTTTTTGGCAAAGCAACTGTAAAAAGAAACCATCAGACCTGAGGCAGGGGGAGTAAACTTTCAAGGAAAGGAAGACATAAGCCCAAGAGAAACCAGTCCCAGCTATGAGTGCATGCGATACAGTGTAACTAACAATACACGCAGATAACAAGCTCCAGGAATCCCCCTACCGTGGACCCCCAGCACAGAGTGAGCTGTGAACACTCTGCCCAGCTTTTATGTGTGTGTTGAGGATCTGAAGTCCTCCTGCTTGAACGGCAGTCACTTTACCCACTCAGCCATCCTCCAGCCTCTGTTGTTAATGAAATGAAAAAGTAGAAAGAATAGGTGAACATCAATTATTTCATTTTTGTGCTGTTTCAACGAAGAAATCATTTTCTTAATGGATACATTCCATTTCAGGGTGACTGTAGAGATTCTCTTCCGTGGAGTATTCTAAACTTAATTTGCAAAGCTTGAGACTGAGAATGCACACTCCTGTTTTGATCTGCCTCACAGTCATTCCTCGGTCCCAGATGGTGTCTTAAAGTGCCTCTGACATCCTACCAGTTTATTAGTGGCTTTGAAGCAGTGAACAGTCCAGGCTGGAATATTTCTCTGGACAAATTGCAGCCCATGTCGTTGATCTGCTTTTACAGCCAGGCTTGACACGTTCACCATTCTCTTCCTGTTCGCCCACTTCCTCAGCTGCTGAGATTTACAGCTTTTCAAACCACCGCGCTCTTTCCTGCCCCTTGCATTTAAGCTAAAAGCCGACCAGTCTGTAATATAAAACATGGAATTATGATAATGAAGGAGAGGTTAAAAGCTACCATAGCAAGTCAAAGTTGGGCCGGTTTGGCTGACTGATATGGTAAAATTATGTGTTGAATTAAAACCTTAAAATGTTGTGGGATTAATGGAGAAAGACAAGAATGGGAGGTCAGAAACAATGCTAAATCAGCACTTTAACAGCCTGTGGTGAAAGAGGGGGGCTTCAATAAATGTCTGTTGGGGGAAAAATAATAAGAGTAATTTAGTCTCTGTTTCCTTCAGGTGAGTAGAACTGTGGAGTTCTCAACCTCAAACCCAGGAAGTCCGTTTACTTCAGCCGTTTTCTATACAGGGGAAGAATGATGGCTGAGAAATAATTAACCAAAGGGACAGATTTTTGTCATTTGAGATGAGGGGGCAGTTTTACTTTTTTACTCCAGTGGCAATTGTTTGAGCATTTATTTTATTCACCAGTCCCGGAGCCCTCTTGTGTGCTGGGCAAGCTCAAGGCAGTGAGGTTCATTACGACACAAAAACGGTGAATCTTCCGCCCTTGAGCACTAAACTTTGAGCGGTCACAAGCAGCCAACAGTGGCTCTTCCATTGGTGTGAAGGGTGTGGATTCCGGAGTCATGCAAATGACCTTGGGTTTCTGGTTCAAAGTGGGCAGAGTTCAGGACACAGGGTGACATAAACAGAGGTTTGTCAAATAAGTGGCTGAGAGTGGGGCAGAAAGGGCTGGCGTGGTGGACCAAAGAGCTTGCCATGTAAGCAAGAAGAGTTCAAATCCCAATAATTCATGTAAAAGCCAGAAGCGTAGTGTGAACAGCTGGAATCCCAGCACTGCTATAGGGAGGTGGAGGTGCAGATGGGAGAATCCCAGGGAGCTTGGGGAAAGGAACAAAGAGAGCCTTTCTGAAACAAGGTAGAAGGTGAGGACCAACTGCTGAATTTGCCTTCTGACCTCTACATGCATCCTGTGGCACACACGCTTAGGAAGTCAGCACAAATGCAGGCAGCTGTCTACCAAGGAGACAAGCTCCTTTGTTCCGCAGAATCTTGACAGGTGGGAAAAGGCTGATGATGTCTCTGGATGAAGTTAGAGAATCGAGCAGGGCATATAGCCATGGAATCCCACGTCACGTTGATGAATAAAGCAGCTTCTCTCTAGGTGTGCATAAATCAGCGACCATTCTGCCTTTATTTTCACAAGGTGAATCTTTGAATTGTGTCAGTATTCCTGTGAACTCAATTTGCTGAGATGTGAAGCTAGAATGTGTGTTTTCTGGTTCCCCATGGGCCCTGTGGGTTCACTATCCTGATTGTCCAGAGAGGGTCACTAACCTTGCACACGGAGAGAAGCATGGCACTCTGCTGACCACTATGCTTCCTTAATTTTCATTAATCGGATTTCTTATAAGGGACTTCTAAGTGGTGGAGTTTCTTACAGCAGAGCAATTTTATAATAATCTTTCTTTATCTCTTTTTATTAGCAAACAGATCATTGGGTATTTTGGCTCCGTTTCATAGGGTATAATGAGATAAAAAATATTTTAAAATTTCTTACACTAGTGTCTCCGATGCCTTTATTGACCTCTTTATATTACCTTCAAGCAATCTTGCAATTAAAAATACTTCTGCTGGCATAATTCACCACAGCCCAAATAATAGCATTTCTGTGCATCAATATTGACAAACAGAATCCCGGAGTCAAAGCCTGCTTTTGAGTAAATGAAGCTTTATTAGAAAACAATCTCATTTGTTTACATTGTTGGTTATATTGTAGCTTTTGTGTTATAAGGAAAGAGTAGAGCAGTTTCAGAAGAGATGATGACCCACAAACCACAATGGATATTTTCTGCTTCATCACAAAAAAGAGTTTGCTCCATGTGAGAATGTCCTTGGTGAGGCACATAACACGCTGACAGGCTAATTCTATGACTTGTCCATAAAAGGTAGAGAGGTTGATCTTTTATCCTCCTTGTAGCTGGTACAGGTTGATCCTGCATCTACCTACAGCTGTTAGTGGGGAAAAAGAAAGCACAGAACATCTCAGAAAGCAGCGAAAACTTTTTTTTTGGACTTCAGGAACAGCCTAAGCAAGCAAGCAAGCAAACAAACAAACAAAAACTAACTCAAGTTATTTTATATATTCTCTTAGACAAATACATTCCAGTAATGGGGATGAAAACCTTCCAAATGCAATGTATGAAGTTCTCAAAGAATTAACACAACTATTTAAACAAATAAAAGAGGGTCTTGAATTGTCTTTTCAAGATTTTAAGTAATAAATGCATCTTTAATTGATTTTTAAACATATTGCTTACATCTGGAAGAGTTTAGATTTGCTTTGTTAATAAGGAAGAGAACCATTGCCTCTTACAATGAACTAAGAAGGAATTTCATCCAAATCGTCAGCGGATTTTACATATTAGCAGATAACTAGTAATTGGTAACCAAGCACCACATACAGCAATGGCAGTTTTAAGCCTCATGGATAGACAAAAAGTTTTCAGTTTGATTATAATGTTGAGAAAATGTATTCCCCTTCCAAACTAACATGTCCTTAACAACGGAAAATAATACCCTAAGTATGCGCACTCATGTGATATTAATAACAAGTTCCCAAACTTGTAATTTTTAGAAGATGGTATATAACACTTGATATTTCTCTATTAAGCACAGATACAAAGACAAACTTAATTGGAACAATTGGGGTCTCCCTCACTTGTTTGGTTCCCCACTTAAATGATTGTTTATAAAATAGAACTATTAAGTGACCCCTCTTTTCAAGGGTAGCAGTACATTTTATTTCACAAAGGCTTCTTACTGCTATAAAAGCATTATTTTGATTAAAAGCACAGAAAACTAAAGATATTTGTATTATAATTTGTCTCTATTAGAAATATTTGAGAATTTATTGTATATATAATATAGAATATAAGTTAATATGATATAAATTTCATATTTATAATTTATATATTATATGTAACACATAGTATATTATAAATATAAAATAAATATAAACAATATATAATATATATAAAATAATCCATACCCCTCCCTATAATTGGGGTCACTTTACATAAATAGCAAGTAAAAAACCTATGCATGTTTAATTTTAGAGTCACTTATTAATATGTGAATTTTGATCCTGTAATAAAAATGGGAATGGACTGGTAATTTGCGTTTTCCCTTTTTAATTGTGAGGGAGACCCCGATTGTTCCAATTAATTTTGTCTTTGTATCTGTAGGGTTCAAAATTGCCGTTGCGATCCTTCCCGTAAGGCCACCGACTCCTAGTTTTTTGCTCACACACAAAGTCCCTTGAAAAGTTGGTATAAAAATCTGCTTTAGCTCCTTGCGAGAGGCAGTGCTTCTATTCTTTCCCAAAGTCTTGAATATTCATCACATTCATAATTGTACAGAGTCTCTGAGAATTGTATAAAATAATTAAATCTCAGCGCTTCCATCGCCTGCCTCCACCTGCCCCCCAGTGCTTTCCTGGCTGCTTCACCCACCTGCATCCTGAAACTTAGACGATGCGGTGCCGCAATGCCAGAGCTTTCGGTGTGGAAGCCAGCAAATAGCTCGGCACCTAGCTATCCCCCTTTGGAGGGTTTGCTTCTGTATTTAAATGCGTTTGAGGTTTTCAGCAGCTCTACAACATTGGCTCTTAAGAGGCAGAAAACCTGCAATTTATAGCAGATGGGTACAGCCCTTCCTGGCAATGTTGCAGAGATCATTCAACAATACTTCAGGCTCCATTTGTCCACAAGAAACTCACCCGGGGAAGCCTGCCTATTAGGAAACCACCTCAACAAATTTCTGTAACGAACATTTGCCAGTTGGCTTTAATCCGTTGGGAAGACAATGGTGTCTGCGTTCACTCTTCCACCCCGCATGTGGTTGTCCTGACTTTTCTCTTTCTGTGTGCAAACTCCTAATCCTTTATTTAGGGTAGGGAAGTTACAGGGAAAGCTCATCCCTGACGCTCACTCCCACCTCACCAAACTCTCCTCCCTCATTCTTGATTGTACTGTCCTTTGGGGCCCTTATTGGGCAAAGACCTGGCATCTTTTTTTCTTCCTTGTCATTCTCTGTTATTGCCTTTTCTTTTCATTTTCTTTAATGAAAGTGAATCTTTAATTTAGAGCACATTAGGCCTAGAGAGAATCCTGAGGAGCTCTGGCAACCTTCCCCGATCAATACCCTGTGTCCAGATGGAGTGAAGTTTGGTTCTGAGGGAGTGTGTGTGAAGCAGGGTGGGGGTGGGGCTCCAGGAGTTGACTATGGCCTTGCATTAACCCCTGCTTTCCCCATCTCCTGCAATGTTTCTAGGTGTAAAGTGGATATTTCAGCGCTCCCACTGAAGCAAGACAACTGCTTGGAGCTGCCTCTGGAGAGCTGCCTCGGGGCTCTCCTCATGTTGATCACCCTGACTCCCTGTACTGGAGTCTCCATCTCTGACCTCTGTGTCTGCCCCTTCGAGGATCCCAGTGAAAGGAAGCAGATCTCCCAGCGATATGTGAGTCCAATGCCTCCCTCGTCACATGGCCCCTTCCTCCCTGGCTCCTCCCACCAACTTGCACTTTTAAGTCGCCATGGAGTCTCTGTGTTTAAAAAAGTACCAACAGAGATCTTTGCTGCAAGTTTAATTCCATGTCTCATATACCAAGACAACAGAGGTAGGGGTCGATGCCTTAGCATGTGGGAAAAGGAGGCTTGTTTTTGCCTTGCTGTTTCAAATCAACAGGAAGCTGTTTGCGAGTTGCTTTAGGATACTCTAGGAATACTAGTTTAGCCTGTCTGTGGGTTCAAGTGGATATCTGAACAGAAAAAGAAGTTCATTAGAGGAAACTTTCTAAGTAACTATAAATGTTCAGCATGTTTTATACAGAGATATTTTTTTTTTAGGATGGGGGCTGTGCCTGGATAAGGCATGATATCAATGTGAAGGACTTTATTCTGTACCACCTTGATGGTGACATCAGTGTTTGACCATCTCTAACTACTGCTATGTGTGAAATGGTATACTTAGCATTTATGTGTCCATTTGTTTCTTGTACTATGGCCTTCCAGGTGGCTTTATTTCCATCGTTTGGTCTCCTTCTCTTGGCAAATCAACACATGTTCTTTATTTCTAACTTTGGAAGAAAGTTAAAGCCTGGAAACCAGAACCAAGATGAATCTTTACTCTGTGGCCATGTTGTCCTCAGGGTAGAGCTCATTGCCTTCGGAAGTCTTCACTGTGCGGGTGTATTGAATTGAATGTCTTAATCTTCAGGAGGGAAAATTCTAGGCCTATATCTCACGTGAAGTCAGAGTCTGTATACCAGTTTGTTATATTCTGAAGACGTCTGGCAGAGCTCACCATTGATGTCTTCTTTGAGGACTTTGTTTAAGTAAATGGAAGGTGAAAATGAATACTTTCCTCGAGTGGACAGTGGATTGTGAAATTTATGTGGACTGAAATTCAAGTGGATTGTGAAATTTATGAAGCATGCTTTATATTTATAAAATAATGTTTGTGGCATCATAATGACTGCTTTGAATAACATTTTAGAATTTGAGGCTACTAAGAAAATAGACATCCTGAGTGTCTTCAGTGAGCCAGCATGTGTGAGAGAGAAATAATTCACTACCATGTGGTCTTTTTATATAGCTTAGGCTGGCCTAGAACTTACTATATAGCCTAGGCTTGACTCAGATTCCAATCCTCCTGCCTCAGTCTCAACATTGAGATTACAGGTCCACATGCCCACCATCCTGGCAGAGTAGTGATCTGTAAACAGCATTTCTATTTTTTTTTAATTATAGAAATATTCATTTCAAAAGCTTCCATGTAGCCCAAAAACTAACTCGTTGGTTTTTTTAGAGTAAAAATATATAGAGACAATAATTTTCAAAAATTCTTAGAGCTGCTGCATGTTAGATTAGGCTAAACATATTTAATATCAAACTTTTGCCGTTTCACTCCCACATGCCCAAATAACAAGGCTTTACTGTTGTCTCCTAGTCATTAGAACCTGCTTATCCCACCCTTTTAGTTATTTAACAAGGAGGGCAACAATTTTGGAGGTTTTGAAGCTACAGTTTTTTTTTTCAGTAAACCTCTTCTGTAGGCATGAGACTAGGTACCTGCTTGTCTCTGATACACGTGTTTTTAAGGATGCTGTGTAGTTAGAAACACCTAAATACTGCTGTGCCAGCTTCAGAATCCTGAGTGAATGTAGTGAATGCATCCAATCTGTGGACCATGTTAATTAAAGACTAAAGAGAATATGACTACAGGGTGGTACTAGAAGCCCAATTTTTCATTTAATGAATGGGAACAGGTTGAATCATAGATCAGGAAACTGAGTCTCTTTCTATCTCTGATTTCTTTCCCTTGGCAGTAAGCTTTTATGATGGGATGAAGGTTAGTCCTACAGTATCCATAAAGTTTATAATAACAAGACCAGCTTGATATTGCCTTTAAAGGTGATTTAAAAGTTGCATTAATGAGAAAAGGCAGGGGAGAATGAGTGTAATTCCACCCACACATTTTCCCAGTGGGTTATCTATGCTAGCACCAGGGGGCGATGTTAAAAGCAGATTGTGAGTGCTTCTAATTTGTTTATTTTGAGGCTGCAGTTAATTAATTCTCAGTCAATTTTCCTCTAATCCGGCTGTGATACATGCCTAACGGCCCTGGGGTCTGACATAAGACAGCTCTGCAACTCTTCTCAGAATTTTATGAGCAAGGGGGAGAGAAATCTGGAATATACTTCCGGGGGAACTTCCAGACAAGAGCTCACTTGAGCTTTAACCTCCTTGTCTCCACAGGCCTTGCAGAACTCACTGAAGGATGTGAAGGACGTTGGCATTCTACAGGTGAAGGTTCTGAAGGCGGCAGACCTCTTGGCAGCTGATTTCTCAGGTACAGAACACAAGCCCTTTCATGCACTTCCGTTGTCGTGATTTGTCTTGCTTCAAAGTGAGCTTCAGGCAAAACACGACACTTAATAAGTAGAAGTAACTATCGGGTTCCTTTGAATAAAGTAATAGGAGGCAAAGCCCACACGGGAGCAATTGTTTTCTCACAATGAGCATTTTCCACGAAATAATTTCTTTTCAAATAATGTTACTCAGATGTATTCATGTAGTGGTTCATTTGGGATTCCAAAATGCTAATGGATTGCCAGCCTCACAGTTTCAGCTTCTGTACTTGTAAACTATGCTTCGGGCGGGCGGGCCCTGCTTTGCTGCGGTCTCTCCTATGGCTCCTGCCTGCCTCACACGTTTGCTTTACTGCTGAATGCTGCAGTTCACTCTTCAGCAGGCAATGCCGGCGGTTCCTTGTTGGTCTGAGTGTCACTGTATTAGTGACCAAGGTAAAGGCCCAGGGACTGCTTCCCACTTCTTGTTGCCCTTTAGGAACACTCTCCTGGCGCTTTGTGAACTTGAACTTTCAGAGGGAGGCCCGAATGGACCTTCTTTGAGCTCCAGTGGGCCCTGCAACATGTACAGTCTTCCAGACATGGCCAGGTCCAACCTGTCCCTCCCCACTCATCGCTACATTATACCAAGCGCCAAGTGAAGGGCTGGTGGTGTTTAATCTCCTGGATTTCCAGGCAGTGCAGTCTTCCTGATGTGGGTGCTGGGACCCGAACCTGGGTCCTCTGGGAGAGCAGGAAGTATTCTTAACTTGTGAGTCGTCTCTCTAACTCTATATTAAGTTTTAATAAGATGAAAATTCATAAGACCAAGTTTTAAGAAGCTTAAACTTGGCAAGAATTTTAATGTTTAAGCACATCCTTTGTCAACAATTATTGAAAATAGGAACTCAGTTTTAAGAAGTTCACATCCTGCTACAGATGAGAAGAAAGGACTACTGTGTACCTATGTGAAATGATTTATCTCCACCCCAAGGAATGTCACAGTGAATAGATTTTAAGATGTGTTTTGATGACCTACTAAAAAACAACAATTTTAAGTCTTTTTGTTTTGTTTTCTTTTTAAACAGCAATTACTTTATTTCTCTTTACTTTCTTAGAATGTTTTTGTTTGGTGGTTAAAAAATACATCATTAGTAATTTCTATTCCTTTATCCCATTTGTCAAAAAACAATTTGTTGATATGACTTATTTTAAGTCTTACAGACTTACCTTGTGTATAGTGTATGTTTGCATGTGTGTGAGTACAGGTCCATGCATAGGTACATGTGCATGCCCCCCCTACCCCGTGTGTGTGTGTGTGTGTGTGTGTGTGTGTGTGTGTGTGTGTGTGTTTAGTCCCAAGGTTGATGTATCATAGCATTCTTAATTGCTGTCCACCTTAGATACTGAGGCAGGGTACCTTGTTGATGTCCAAGCTCACCCTATCAGCTAGCATGTCTACCCAGCTTATACTAGGGATTCCTGGTCTCTGCCGCCCTCATGCTGAGATTGCGCCCCAGGTTTCACATGGGTTCTGAGGATCTAAACTCTGGTTCTCACACTCATAGAGCAACACTCATTGACGGAGCCATCTTCTCAACCCTCAAATGGGTACTTGTAGTATTCCCTAATGTAACTGCATATGTGAATGGTCTCATTAAATAAGAACTTGTCCTTTCCTTTCATTGATGGATTGAGAAAACGTTCACTGTTACATCTGTGTCTCTTTCAGGTGTTGTTTGATTTGTGAACCATTTAAGATTAGAATGCAGAATGAGGCGTTTCATCACAGCATTGTTATGCATGTCATCAGACTCATGTGTGCTTTTGACAGTGTTTAACATGTGCCTTTGACAGTCAGCGTTTTGCCATCACTGAAACATACTTGGTGTTATCAATTCATTTTTACAAAATGGATTATTTTTATTTCTAAATATTGAGGTAGAACTTGTGCTTGTCTTAGGAAAAGTCTTAAGCTCCAAGAATGCGTTTATGCATTTGAGAAGACTGTTTTTAAAAACCTTTTTTTGCAGTTGTAGAATTTTGATCCCCAGCAATTAAGGACAACGCATCAATGGTTTTGTTGTTTGTAAGGCCTTGCTTACGATGATGTCAACTTTGTAAAGAGTGTATGCAACCTGCTTTATTTACCCATCCTGTCATCTGATGCCCACGAGGCCCCTGAAATTACAGTGGATGAAAGCTCTTTCAGGCCACTGAGCATTATCCAAAGAGCACTTTGGCTAGTTAAACAAATGGGGATGTAACTCTAACAGGAGTCTTTGTAAATGCCAGAATGCAAGGTGAAACCCTTTTTATAAAATATTAATTAGTAAGGAGATGTTATTTTGCTTTTTAAAAAATATTTGAAGTCCTCAGTAGATCATT